GAACAATCTGTATACTGTTGGCATCATTTGTTCCTCAAATGTTTGTTAGAACTCATGGAGAAAAACAATCTGGGCCTATTCCCCCCCACCCGACCCCCCTTGATAGGAAGACTTTTAACTACAGATTAAGTTTCTTTAAGGATTATTTGACAATTCTGGGTTTTCTTTTTCCTGGGTCCATTTTTGCTTTAAAAAAAAATGTATTTTCCCCAGTTGTTGAATGCACTTGTTTTCGATTTATCCATTAGATTAAAATTGTTAATTGTTTGTCAAATCTTCTACATCCCAATTTTCCATTCTTCTCCAATCGACAGTTAATCTATCAACTACTCAAAGGGATGTGTTAAGAGTCTCCTACTAATTCGTTCTTCTGCCTCGTTTACCCTAGCTGTTAAGAGTTTCTAGATTCAATTGGATCTCATTGATAGCATTTTTAAGTTCCGCCAGTTCAGCTTTCATTTTTGCCCTTAGAGACTCAATGTTGCCATTAATCGATTTCTCCAGTCTAGCATCGTCTTCATAACTGTTACCCTGAAGTCCATCTCTGACATCTTAGTTATATCTGTATCCATTTGTAAATCTGTGGCAGAAGTCACAGTCTCTGAGTCTTTCTTATTTTGGGGGTTCCTCCTCCTAGTCATTCTGTTGAGGGGTGGTTGAGGGAATGTACAGAGTCCAAATTATTGACCACAACCCAAGTAAGATGAACCTGTTTTGTAGGGACCTTAGGGTTGTCGGCCTCTTGTTCTCCCAGCCTGTCTTCTGGGGGAGGGGCCTGCCGCGCTGTCACTCAGGCAACCCTGTCTGGGCAGAGTTGCCCTGCCCCCTGTCAAAAACTAATGAAGTACTGTATGGTGACTAATGTAACATAACAAAATTAAATTAAATTTAAACAAAAAGAATCTCCTACTATAATAGTGGACTTTGCAGATCTAGTCATTTTTATTTATTTTTCGCTTTATATATTTTTCTGTACATACAAGTTTACAATTATTACACCTTCCTGATAAATTGTACCTTTTATCATTACACAGTAACTATTTTTAGTAATGCTTTCTGCCTAAAATCTACTTTTCCACGATATCAATAAAGCTATGCCAGTTTTCTTTCAACTGGCCTTTGCTTCCAATATCTTTTTCTATCCTTTTAATCTCAAATGCTCTGTGTTTTTTTGGAGATGTGTCTTATAAACAGCAAATATTGGATTTGTTTTATTATCCAGTCTAATATGCTTTGTCTTCTCACTAATGGTTTGATCCATTTGCATTTATATTGATTACACATAGATCTAGATACAATTCTACCATCTTATTTTGTGCTTTTTTTGTCTTTCCTTTTAAAATGTTTGTCCTTTTTTCTTGCCTTCCTTTGGAATGAACTTTTTTCTCATTTCATGTTTTCTCTCCACTGTTTGGGAAGTTAAAGACTCTAATGGTTGCCCTAAATTTAACATCCACATTTACTTTAGCATTATTACACAGCCTCATACCTTCACCCTATTCCTAAACAACACAGGAGACTGTGAGTCCTGCAGCTCTTAGGACCAGGATCTTCGCTCAGTGTTTCCTCCTGTAGCTCAGTTCTTTATTCAGTGACTGTTACCTTTCTGCCTGAAGTGCAGAATATGAAGTTTCTTTAGTTAGGGTCTATTGGTAGAAAACTCTCTCAGGGGCGCCTGGGTGGCTCAGTTGGTTAAGCGACTGCCTTCGGCTCACGTCATGATCCTGGAATCCTGGGATCGAGTCCCACATCGGGCTCCCTGCTCAGCAGGGAGTCTGCTTCTCCCTCTGACCCTCTTCCCTCTTGTGCTGTCTCTCATTCTCTCTCTCTCAAATAAATAAATAAAATCTTAAAAAAAAAAAGAAAGAAAACTCTCTCAGCTCTTGTTTAACTGAAAAGGTCTTTTAATTCTTTTATTCACAAACAAGAGATTTTCCTGAGCAAATAATTCTAAAATACATGCAGGAATGGGTATGTTAATATACCCCCAAAAAGTTTGTATTCTTAAAAAGGTATTTTCATAGCAACTAAAAATATAAAATACTCAAAAATAAATCTCATAATTGTGTATAAGGCCTTAATAGAGAAAATTATAAGACCTTATTCAAAAGTATTTTAAAAGACCTCAATAAATGGAGCTATATACTTTCTCATGAATGGGAAGAATTAGTGTCACTTAAAAATAACAAAATTGGTTTTTCATTAAACATGACAGCCTGATTCTAAAATGTTTTGCTTAGGATTTACTGAGTTCTTGAATTTAGTAATTGGTATCTGTCATTTATATTGGAAAAACTCAGCTATTATTTCTTCAAACATTAAATTTCCTACATTCTCTATTTTTTTCTTATGGAACTCCAATTAAATGTATATTAGATCCTTGCACTCTCGCCTCTATGGCTCTTAACCTCTTTTTAATATTTTTCATGTATTGTCTTTTCACGCTATATTCCAGGTAATTACTTCACAACTATTTCTCAGTTCGTTAATCCTCTTTGGAGCTATGTCTTACCAGCTATTTAACACATGTATTCAGTTTCTTGTTTAAATTATCATGTGACTCATAACTGACTGAGCCACCCAGGCGTCCTGGAAACTTTAAATTCTTGACTACGGTTTTTTTGTACAGTCAGGTAGTGTAAATTCTAACCTCAAACTCACATGTGGACTGGTTTTTAGTTAGGAATTCTCATGAGAGACTACCTTTTCTTCCCTTTACCAAACAGCCAATTTCCTTACTATCTCCCTTGGGGAGGAGGAGAATGAGTTCAGTCACATTGGTGTCACTTTCTATGGGTGCCTTCTTTATGCTTTGGTCTTTGATCCAGTCTCGTCCCTTGCCTGGACCCTGAGCTCCGTCTCCTATCTCTAAGCCTGGTCTGTTGCGAATGAAGTTCTAGGTTACTAAGAACTGGCACATGTCCTGAAGGAAGCTGCCACCTGCAAGTACTTATTTATCCTTTTGGATTTGGGATTCTCAACATTTTTGACCTCTGATGAGTTGTCTTATTTTTTGCCAACTGAGCAATGCTTAGAAAAAAAATTTTTTTTAACTTAGGAACACTGTTTGGTGTTTATTCCTGTACGATTTTAAAGGCGATCTACTTTTCCATATTGCTAGGAAATGAACCTTGAAAACAATTTTTAAAATATTTGAATATAAAGAGAAGGAGAGACATGGCAGAAAAAGCTACAGCAGGATAGAGTCAAGAAAGGGTTCCTTTTATTTTTTCTTCATTCAGGAGAACTTAAATTTATAGGTTATGGGAAAAAAAGAAAAAAAGGAGGCAGAGGAAAAAGATGGAGATGATGGAGAAAAAGGAGAGGACTATTGGATAGAGGGAAGTTTCCAGCGAGAAAAGGAGGAGGTCAGGAGGACACAGATGAAAAGCCTGGCTTTGAATACAGGAGGGTGTGGTAGGCTGAACAGTGGCCCCCCAAGATGTCCACATTCCAATCCTTGGAGCTTGTCAATATGCTACCTTATGTGCAAAGGGACTCTGAGTAGGGGAGAGTCTCCTGGACTGTCTAGGTGGGCCCCAAATGTAACCACAGGTGTCCTTAGAAGAGAGAGGTTTGACTCCAGAAGAGGAGAAGGCAATAGGAGCTCCGAAGCAGGGATGGGAGCGATGTGCTTTGAAGATGGAGGAGAGAACCACAGCCAAAACATGCGGCAGCTTCTTGAAGCTGCAATAGGCATGGAGACGGATTCTCCCCTCAGAGCTTCCAGAAGGAAACAGCCCTGCTGACAGCTTGACTTCAGCCCAGTGAAAGTGAGTTCAGACTTCCAACCTCCAGAAGTGTGAGAGAATAAATGTGTTGTTTTAAACCACTTGGTTTTGTGGTAATTTGTTACAGCAGCAGCAGGAAAAGTACACAGAAGGAACACCTTCGCTGAGATCTTAGAAATGGGCCTTTCTCTAACACAATTCAGCTGGAGAGTCAAATTTGGGTTTAGTAATGTTCGAATTTTAACCAACCTGTATGTATTAAAATTTTTTAATATTATCAAACTTAATCTAAATGAATTTAAATTGAAAAATACCTTGCTTTACCTCAAATGCATCTACGGGAATCATAGAAATGCATGTAAAATCAAGTGATGCATATAATCTAATTATGTTTAAGCAACAGAGTAGAAAGGGTATTTAAACTGGCACAATGGTGACTTGGACAGCAAGCTGTAGTAATTTCCTTTTTTTTTTTAAAGAATTTTTTTTAAATAATCTCTACACCCAACATGGAGCTCAAACTTAAAACCCTGAGGTCAAGAGTTGCAAGTTCCACCCACTAAGCAAGCCAGATGCCCCAAGCTGTAGTAATTTCCCTAGTGTTGTATATGTGAAGGCGTGAAACATCTTGCCCCAAAATACAGTCTTGTGTGGCACCAATACAGAATAGAGGATTTGAGCAACTTGCCCAACGTCACATAGCTAGTGAGTGGCAGAGCTCTTAGCTCCATAAATGTTTGTTGATAAATACACGGTGCCTTTCAGGCTCACCCAGCACAAGTTTGAGCAACAATGTGAGGAAAGGCACAAAACCCCAAAAGGTCCAGGAGAGGTCTCTGATCAGATAAAACCATCTGGGTCTGTCATGAGTGTCCAGGTTTCCTTGTCTGGATCTCCAAATTTCAGCCCCTGCTTTTTTCTCAGAACTTCCCCCATTCCACTCTGATGCTTCAGCTCACCTTTGTAGGGCAGTGACGTATCCATCCAGGTATCTGGCTAGCATCTGACTCTGGGGCATCACGAACTCTGCTTCTGTTATCTGTTTGCCTCCCGAGGTCTTGCTACAGACTCATTAATGTCGCCTCACTCTCTGGGTTGGTTACTCTTTGTGCTAGTGCTCTATGGGACTCTACTGCCACGGAACCCAAGAATTTGTGAACAAAATAACAGCACAGAATCTTCCAGAAAATAAAATATAATTGGGCAATTGAATAAAAAAGAAGTTTAGAGCTACTAAAACATTAGTGAAATAAAACAGGCACTACTTACGCAGGTGGACTATCGCCACAATACTTGCCGATTCTTTTAGCGTCATTGACTTCTCCACCATTGAACACAGCCACAAAATCGTAACGGCAATAGTTATCACGCTCAACATCAAACTTCTCAAATTTCAATTCTATAAGCTTTAGAGAAAGCACAACATTAGAAATATCAGGATAGCACTGAGGAATAATCTCATACGGGAATCTTCCTCTCCCCAGATCTGTAGGATTTTCCTTGGTAAAGAATGCATTCATTCTGTTTGAATTTTTTGTTTCTTGTTGTTTTCATATTTCTTCTGTAGTTAACAAAACTGTGGTATTCTTTATTTTTAATTATTTCAAAAGACCATCCTTAGTTAAGAACTTAAATTTAAGAGATGTTCGCCTACAGTTACAAATGTATGGGAACACCATGTAACCCTAACAACCTACCTTAAGGCCATAATTGGATACGTGTTGGAGTGGGAAGCAGAGGTATATACCAACTTCATTCTTCTTCTCTGAGATGTGTTGAGGTGTGGTGTATGTGTTACGTGTTTGGGTAGGTGAGGTGGTGGATAGAGTTGTTCCTCTTTCGAGGGAAGGAGAATGACATTCCTATCACATGTAAGCAGGCAAATTCTTTAGGACCAGAGATTCAGGCAATGGGGACTGACTGTGAGTCTTCTTGAAGTATGTTTGAAAAGTGTGCCTACTGAGTTGAGCACAGCCTATTTGGTGATGTGGTTGATTTCTGAAGAGGTTGCATGAAAGCACTGATAAAGTCAGTGTTAGATTTCTTAAGTATTTCTTAATTTTTTTGCACTAGTACCAGTAATAGTGTCCTAAGTTATTCAAGTCAGTAGAAGTTTTGGTTTAATAGGCAATCATTCCCCTCACAAGCAGATTTTTCCAGAGCACCTCCAATGTGTGAATCAAAGGAAATCACGCTGGGTTCATAAATACCCATGGACCCAGAGAGCTGGTCCCTACTTTTGCTGGGCAGCAGGTGGGCAGGCAACCCTTCCTGCTGCTTAGGGAAGATAATGGGCATTAATTCCTGTTAGAACAGGCCCTAGTTATTAGCTAAAGAAGACTCACACACAGTAATTGGATGAAGATGGTAACAGCAACAGCATCACAGAGGGACCAAAAGTAAATTTTGGCTTTGAACATAATTGCCATGTATCTACATATTTACCCACCTTTAAAAAGTCAGCACCAGTTATGGGTGAATAACAGCTTATTCATATTCAGCACTGCTTTAAATTATATTAAAATAGTTCTTTGGGTTCAATAACTGCTCACCATTTAATAATAAAATGCTTTCCAGATTATTAAAAATTGGCTGAACTTTCTCTACTTAGAAATTAGTCACATAACAACTTTTGGAGAGAAGATTAAAAAATAAGTAAATAGATAGGAGAATAAAGGGAAAAGCTATGATTAAAAAAATGAAGGTAAGTCTTTAACAGAAGAAAATGCTCATAGATTTGCATAGAAATTACTTAGGACTTCATCTTCCCATTATATTCTTCTTTGACAGTGCTTCCAGTGATTTCAGGCATTACAACAATGACTAAAAACTACTTGGCTGAAGCCAAAAATCACATTAGGAAAATGAAACCCAAATTTAAGTTTAAATAATCAAAGAGATGAACACTGGAAAAAAGATGCTGAATTGTAATCTGCAAGGATAATTAAGCTGAAATTATTTAGGCTAATTAATGTATTTTCCAAATGTCACAGAGAGACAAATGACCAGTACAATCTCAAGAATTATATAATGGCTTAAATGCTGTCATTTTAAACTATAAAAAATTCAATAAATGTGTAGAGTCTTTCATCATTAAGTAAATGACCATATTTTTATTCTTAAAAATAAAACTAGGTTTGGGGATTATGATGTGTGTGTGTGTGTGTGTGTGTGTGAGTTCAAATCACTAACTTGCATGGTATATTTACTTGAATAATTTTCCATTTAAAAATCAATATATGGCAAACAGTATTTGTGTAAGTGATACAAAAGATCAGTTCAGAAAAATTTTTAAAAGATTTATTTGAGAGAGAGCGTGTGCACACACGAGTGGGGGGAAGGGGCAGAGAGAGAGAAGCAGACTCCCTGCTGAGTGGGGAGTCCGACACCTCGATCCCAGGACCATGAGATCATGACCTGAGCCAAAATCAAGAGTGGGTCGCTTCACCAACTGAGCCACCCAGGTGCCCTAGAAAAGTTTTTTTTTAAACAGTATCATAATGCTCACACGCTAATGTTTGAGTACAGTCTGTAGTGTTTATAACAATAATAATTTTTTAAAAGTTATTTCCCCAAGTCCACAAAGTAGGCTTGGTCTATTCCCATGCTACGTTTCGTCCTGCAATTCATGTCTGAAAGTGGTTCCCAGAAATGGTAAAATTTCACATAACCACAAACTAATAAGCACTGGAAAAACCAGACCCTCTCTGTTGATTGTTTTATAGCAATAAATAAAGTTATTTGTGGGGAACCTGTGCAAATTTTATGTTAAACAACAACCAAAAAAATACCCACAAAGCAGATTAGTTTTCAGACTCGTTCTTTGAGGGGAAGATGTGGTGTGCTTGCATCGCTTTGTCCAGGTGAAGCTGTCACAATGCATTTGCCACGTGAACAAATGGTAACCTAAAAGCTACATATACTTGGGGATTCCAATCCTCCCACACTCGGTCACTGCTGTTTATAACATCTTCCACGGGGTTCAACAATCTCACAAGGATTTGCTTACTGTTTGTACTGAAATTTGAAAATTGTATTTATATACTAGGAAATTAAATGCAGGACTTTTGCAAGTCAAATTGTGCAAAAGCAATTTCAATCTGGGTCTTTGTATGAAGGGATACCTGTGTCCAGGAGGGCCTTCCTTACCTTGCATGCTAAGCTCTTGAGAGACGGGCCCCTCGCACCATCTAGGCAATTCACACATGCAGGCTTTCTTTGTATTTTTAGGGACTCTTACCTGATTCTTTGGGGCTACAATGTGCCACACACAAGTGACTCCTGCAGGGTAATCTCGGTCTGGCCAGTTGGGGGTTTGAAAAGAGCCAGAAGGTCTTTCTAGGCGTCCTCCACAATACTGATCTCCTGAAGTTTTTAAGTATGGAAAAAAAAAATCCAAGTTTATATCCTGCTACGGGTTATGGCAATGCAACCATAAGGAGACTGGGAATTTGGAATATTGGTAATAATACAGTAAATAAAGGCAATGGCAGAAGCTCCTAAAATTTTTTCTTAAAATATGGTTACACAGCCTCCTACACTCCCCCACCCGCCACACACACTGAAGATCTCTGTTACTTAACATATCACATCCGCACAAGAGAGCATAGGAGTGGAGTCAGGGCTATAGCTTCTTTTCTTTCTTTCTTTTCTTTGGTCAAGTAAAGACAAAACATTTGGGCATGAACGCATTCAGAAATCATGCAGGCTCAACAAATTACATAGATTTTAAAGAAGCCTCAAGGCAAAGGTATTTATTAATGGGATTAAAATGCATGCCCATGGACAAAATTTGAATTAGTTGGCAGAGAAAACTCTCATTACCAAAAAACTCTATATGCTACACATCTTTAATAATTTTTAAGAATAATTTTTGTCTGTAAAAACAGTGTTTATAAATTTTCAGCAATACAGAAGAGCATCAAGAAGAAAAAGAAAATTACCCCAAATCCAACCACCTAAAACTAACCACAATTAATATCTGAGAAACATCATTTCAGACATTTCCATGCATATGTACTGATAATAGGTCAACAGGAGTAATTTTAGAACGATATTTTAATACGAAGTTCTAAATTCAATTTTATTTGAATTTAACAGAAAAACTGAATTGAAACTAAGGGAACTAATATAACTTCAAATTAAATATTTGACACAGAAGATAAGCATTCTTAAAAGGCATCTCTAAGAAAATACATTATAAAAATTGAGGTTGGATAATTTCTGAAACTTTATTCATGGAAAATTTCAAGCAGATACAAAGTAAATAGAATAATAGAATGAGCTTCCTGTGCATCCAATAATTAATTTCAACAATTTTATTATCATTCTACTGTTCTTTTTATTAATACCACTATCCAATCCCTACCACCTGCTTCATTATTATTATTACTACTAATTTTACAGATTTCAAAAGTAAATTCATGCACTGTGAAATGCACAAATCTTAGCTGTACTAATTTGAAAAATTAATCTCCTTATGTAAGCCACACTCCTGTGACTGTACAGAAGCCATTTCCCACCAAACTCCTGTATCCCTTCCCAGTCAGTCTGCCGACTCTCCACACCACTTTTCTGAAAAATTTCAGTTTTATTCTAGACCTTCATATACATGGAATCATGTATGGTGGACTCTTCTGCATCTGGCTGCCCTTGCTTGTTAGCACAATGTCTGAGATGCATTCATATTGCCGTGCGGATTGGTAGTTTGTTCTTTTACCCTGCTGGGTGATTCCGGTGTGTGGAAACACAATGTGTCTACCTTTTCTTCTGCTGACATTCCTTTGGGTGTTTCTGGTTTGGGCTATTGTAAACGAAGCTGCCGTGAGCTGTTTTGTACAAATCTCTTTGTGGACAAGCGCTTTCATTTTTCTTGCACAAATACCCAGAAAAGCAATTCCTGGGCCAAGAACAGATGTAGATGTTTAACTTCAGAAGAAACTACGATTTTCCTCTCGAGGCTGTAGCATTTTATACCTCTCCAGGTACAAGCACTTTGGTCACAGCACATCCTTTCCGCCATTTGATGATGTCAGTTGGTTTAGGCAATCTGGTGGGTTTGTAACGGTATCCCAGTGCGGTTTTAGTTTGCATTACCTTGTTAACAAAGGATACTGAGCAGTTTTTCATGTACTTATTAATCATTCATGTATCTTCCTTTGTGAAGTGTCTGTTCAAGTGTTTGCCCATGTTCGTATTTATCGCGATCTTTATTAACTTTAATAATGTTTGCATGGTACATATTTTTCCACCTTTTTACATTCAACCTAGTTTGTATTTCAAGTGCTTTCTTGTGGACGATGTATAGTTAGGCCTTGCTTTGTAAACTGTTCGAATAATCTCTGTTTTCTAACTGGAGTATTTAATCCTTGGCAATCAATGTGTTTATTGATATGCTTGGGTTTGGTGCACTATTTGCTACTTCGCTCTATTTGTCTCACCTTTCTCTTGTTTCATCTGTTCTTCCTTTCTTGCCTTCTTTGGGCTAGTTGAAAAATTTTAGTATTCTGTTTTAACCTTTTGGCTTTTAGCTACAACTCTTGCATTTTTAATGGGTACTCTAGGGATTACAATGTGTATCTTTAATTTATCACAATCCGCTTAGAGTTAATATTGTATTTCTTCACGTGCTGTGTGTGTGTGCAACAGTAAAGTTCCATTTACCTCTCCTTTACCTTTACCTTTGTTCTATTATTGTCACATATGTTATATCATACATTCCATATTCCACAATACAGTGTTAAAGGGGTTTTTTTGGTCCTGTTTTGAACAGATACATGTAAAGAAATTAAGAACATAAAATAACATATAGTCTTTTATATTTACCTTTTCCAATGGCCTCCAATCCTTCCATTACGTTCGTGTTACCCTGTGGGGCCATTTCCCTTCAACTTGAGGAACTTCCTTTAATATTTCTCGTGATGCAAGAAATGTCTTTAATTCACTTTCATTTCTGAAGACTGGCTATAGAATTCTGGGTTGATAGTTTTACTCCGGCATTTTAAGAATGCTGTTCTACTGCCCTCTGGCCTCCACTGTTTCTAATTAAAAGAAAGCCATCCTTCACACCATTATTCCCTTGTATGTGATTTGACTTTCATCTCATTGATTTTAAGATTTTCTCTTTATATTTAGGTTTTTGTAATTCTGATGTACCTCAACATCAGAATGTGGCTTTATTTTTTTTTATCCTGGTTGGGGTTTGTTCATCTTCTTGGCTCTCTAAATTAATGTTCTTCACTGAATCTGGGTAGCTTTAAGCCATTACTTCTTCAGACATTTTTCCTGCACTACTCTCCCTCTGTTCTGGGATATAAATTACACTCATTAGACCACTTGATATTGCCTCACTGGTCTCTCGGGCTCTTTTTCTTTCATCTTTTTCCTCCTGGTTCTTCAGATTGGCTCATTTCTATTTAGATCCACTGACTCTTCTAACATCTCCAATCTGCTTGTAAGCCCACCAGGTAAATTATTAAATTTCAGATTTTGTATCTTTCAGTTCTAGAATTACTCTTTTATTCTTTTTTTATAGTTTATATAAGTTTTATAGTTCTGTTTCTCTTCTGAAATTCTCAACCTGTTTACTTACTATACATCTATTTCTCTTTAAGTCCTTAGATATAGTTACAATAGTTGCTTTAAATGCTTGTCTGCTAACTGCCACATCTGAGTTATCTTGGGATCAGTTTTTATTGACTTTTTTCTTGAATATAGATACACTTTTCTGGTTTTATCACATGACTGGATACTGGATATTATGAATGATACATTACAGAGACTCTAGATTCTGTTGTGTTCCACAGAAAAAGGATTTGTGTTCTAGCAGGCATTTCACTTGCCTAGACTCAAGCTCAAAGTCATCTCCCTGGCTGTGGGCAGCAGCTGTAATCTCTGTTCACTTTAATCTTTTCAGCTGCTGCTTTTGTGCGGGGCCAACTAGACTCTCCTCTGCATACGTAGAGTTTGGCTGTCAACCAAAGCTCTAGGTGGCTTTTATCTGCATATTTTGTGCTTCAATTCCTCTGCAGCTCCCAGCCAGCATTTCCTCCCAAATGTCTGGCTGCTCTGTCAGCCCCAGATCCTGTCCTCTGACATCTCAAACCAAAATGCTGCACAAGAGCTCGAAGCAAGAGCAGATTAGGAAATGCCCTCAAGCAAAAGGCTCCAAATTTAACAGATCTGGACTACTGCAGTTATCTCTTCAGCGGAGAGGTTTCTACCCATGGGTACTCATATGTACCAACATGAAAACACCCCAACACATAGTTTTACGTGAAAAAAAAAAAAGTTGTGAAGCGATATGCATGTGTGATCCCACTTAGATTTTTAAAAAGCTACTGCAGAAGTATATACATACAAGTGTACATAGAAAGGTATGGGAACCACCAGCCATGGCTCTTTCTAAGACGGGACTATAATGTGGTGAAGGGGTATGTGTATATGTGTATGTAAGCTTCACATTTTTACTCCAGGAATTTCTATATTTGAATTTTGGTAAGAATCACATGGGCTTAAAAAAAGAGATTTTTTGGAATGGTCTCTTGGTAGTTCGGTGGCATTTATTAGCTCCATTTGAGAAGAGCTGCTCTTCAACTTTAGGTTAAAGGAGTAAACACATATAAAGTGCCTGGGACAGAGCCTAACACAAAGGAGGCATCCAATAACCGTGAGCCATTATTATTGCTGTGACTGCCATTATGTGGAAACGGTACCTCTTTCATTTGGTTCAGCAGCAGAGAACATGGCCATGAAGCCATTCCCAGCTGTGTTGGCATCAGAAATCATCTGCACCATCATCTTGTTACCACTGGACACAAGGGCTCCAGGCCGGAACGTGCCACAGAAGCGCCCGATACGCTGGCCATTGGTATGACCACTGTACACATCCACAAAGTCATAACGGCACAGGTTGTCACTCTCGAGATCTATGAATCGGAAATTCAGAACTACCACTTTGCCCTCGGGAACCTGGAGAGAAAAGCACCAATTGGAAAACCATGTCATGAAAACAGTATCTGAAGTCTTCCCATCGAGCCAATTACTGAAGTGAGCAGATAAAAAGTATAATACCCAAGATGATGCTTTTCTTCCCTCAAATCTGAACTCAGGAAAGGTTTTCTACCATAATGAATTCCTAATAAAATGTAAGTATTTATTGTCCCACAATTCATGAGGGTACACAATCTTATCCCTAGGGAGTTTATCTCAACAAAGTTGCAAAATATTGAGTCAGTCTTATTAATTGGTAAATCATTGCTTATAAAGAATACCAGTCCTGACTGGACCTTAGCACACATTTGCAAATTGTAAAACACCATGGCACCCAGAGATATTGCTTGGAAAAGAAATATTTGAAATATCATTCTTCAGAAATAATACAACAGGATAATCTCAATATGTAGAATGCTTCTATGAAGTTTCAACTGAAGGGACTGTTTGGCAATTGTGCAGTTAATTTATAGATAATTCAGTTTGGGTCCTGAAAAATCCAGATCAACTATTTATACTGATTAGGCTGAGTAATTACTGAATCATCTCTTCTCAGAGTCACTGAGTTTTTGTTTCCCACATGAACACTTTATATACTAGGCAACCTTGAAACACAAAGCACTGATGAAGAAAATGAGTTTTCACTTTCTCATACAACTTCCTTCACCATAATTTCCTCCATATAATTCTTATGATGTTTCCTTCCTTGTTCCCTGAACAGGTAGAAACAATGGCTACAAAAGCATTCAGCAGGATTCTAACAAAAGCCCCATTTCATTTCCAGTTCACACCATCTTTTAATTTATTCATCCAAGTATTTGGTCATAAAGTCTCACAATCAGATTCGTTTTACCTTTTCCACTAGGGATCTCCACTGAATGGCCTAAGAATTTCATTTTACAGATGACAAAAAGTCAGTGATTTAAAAGACAAAACAAACCCACAACCATCAACAGTGGTTGGTTTATAGTCATCTTAAGTAATTATCTCATACTCAAGGGTCAATAGATGCTTTAACATAAACATGGCTTTCCGTGTTGGTGAGTTCAGGACCATAAATTTTTTTTCTGTGATAAGAAGCAGTGTTTCCAGTGCTATTTGCCTTTTGTGTCAAAGACATACACACCCCATGGCAAAACCTGTAGAGCAAAAGTCTCAAAAGGATATTTTGGCTTTGTCATAGCTATATTCTAATTACTAGAAGCTTATCTTAATAGCGTATTAGAAGTTCCAAAGCCACGGTCTGTGAAGCTGATAGCAGAAAACGCAATTTAATTTTTAAACATTCTCACTGAGATAGCTCTTGGAGAACTCCTCTGGGTTTTTTTGTTGTATTTATTTTTTTGCATGCAATCTCTAGTTAGCCTGTGATCAGAAAATTACAAAAATGTGATGCCACATCTGTAATCTGAAATATAAGCAATCTATCAATCACTGAAAATTTTCCAGCCAAAACAAAACCAAACACCATTCTGAGCTATATTAATTTAATGTTGACTGTCCTTGCAAGAAGAGTGACTGTGTAAATGTGTAGATAAACTGTGTGGAGGGTAGTTCAAAGCTCTGAGGCTCTTCCACCCGCAGAGTCAAGAAGGGAAGAGGTAGAAGGATTCACCCCTGGGGCACTCTGATGTCATCAGGTCTTTCAGATACGGTCAAACCAAGCTAGGGACTGAGTCAGGAAGTAGGACGCAATCAGAAGGGTGTGGTACCCAGAAGCCAAGTGAATAAAGTGTGTTCAAGGAGGAAGAACTAGTCAGCTGAGTCAGGTGTGGCTGCTGAGCAAAGAAAGATAATTAAGAAAGGGCCACTGGGTTTATCAACCAGAGGTCAATGGTGACTCCGACAAAGCTGTTTTGGTGAGGCAGCAGGGATAAAGCCCGGCAAGAGAAGGATCAAGAGAAAATGGGTGAGAGGAATTGGGACAAGTTTTTCAAGGAGCTTTGCTGGAAAGATGAACAGAGTAATATGTGGGTAGCTGGAAGAGGGGGTGCGGGTCAAGGCAGGATAATTAAAATGGGCTCTATTAAGGCTCGTTTGCATGCCAATGGGAGTAACTCCACAGGGAGGGCAAAATTGATAAAGTAGGAGAGAGAGAGAGAGTTGCTGGAGAATGTCATTGGGTAGGCAAGGGAAGATTTGCTCTAAGGCACAGATGGGGGGGCGGGTGTCCAGCCTCAGAAAGCAGCATGGACAATTGTGCCTACTGAGAGGAGGGAAGGCAGGGGCAGGTGGGGTTGTAGGTGAGGCTGTGAGAGCAGATGAAGTTTTTCTTTTGTGAAACAGAAAACAAGGTCACCAGCAGCAAACATGGATGTGAGAGGAGCTATCAGGAGTCTGAGAACAGAGGAGAGGTGTGTAAACGGATTAAGGAAGTACAGCAGGAGTGTCAGGAGTGCTGAGGGCCCACTTGAGGTATGTAAACTAAAAGTGGGACCGCTCTGCATGGGGGGAGTGGGCTAAGTTTGCCAAGCAAGGACTATGGAGGAAGACAGAGCCAAGAGAGTTGAGGATATAGGCAGACGAGTGACCATAATGATGGACCATGGAAACTAAGCTGGGTAAGAACAGAAATGTCGAATCAGTGGGATGAGGACAGTAACCTAGACTGTGGGGGAGACAGGATAATGCAGTGGAAGTGGGTGGCAGAGGAACAATGGAGGCTGGGGGAGCTGCAAGACCCAACAGGATCCTCCATGTAGATACTGAAATTACTGTGAATTATGACAAGGATGAGTGTTGAAGACAGTGACAGCAAGCCAGGGGCTAAAATTTACAAGAACTGAGGAAAACTGCCCTGGGGTCTTTCTGCAACAAGATAAGCAAAGAGGGGCAAGGAGGGCAGTCTTGTTTCACTGGTAAGTTCTCCGTTCTTTGGCACTAAGAAAGTTCTGTTGATTCCTTTCTGCGGTCAAGCTGGATACTCATTTCCAATGGGATAAATCGGCATATGTTCAGCACTAGGAATGAGGTTCCATCATTGAAATTTTGAACACTTGTTGATCCCAACAACATCCCCGGCCAAAAACTCTTTGGAAGGAAGGATGCAGAGATCTATACCAGTTGTGTGCCTACCATAACCAGAAACAAATACTATCTTGCACTGAAGGCCAAGAGCAATCTATTGCAGGGGAGATGCATACTGGAGGGAACCCTTTCAAGACAACACAACAGTTGTTCTTCATTTTAATGTGAGTAATCAAGATTGTCTGGTGCCCTGGGATGTGAACTTTGCTTAGAGTTCCTAGACAGTCACTCTAAAGGTCTTTGTAAAGCATATTCTCCAAAGGTGACCCCTCCACTTGAAGAATCTACAGTCTTTACTCTCAATTTTTCTTTGTTAAGGATATTAAAAGAAAAAAATATATATATAGAGAGAGAGTAATATAACAAACACCTAGGTACCAGCCATCCAGAATTAATTATTGTTAGCATTTTGTCAACACATTTTTAATGTCTCCTTTACTAAAATAAATACAAATTTTCAAATAAAATGAGGTTTATCGTTCCCATCCCAGGCCCCGTTTTCCCCTTTCTCAGAAGCAACCATTGTCATAAATTTAGTGGGTTTCCTTCTGTACCATTCAAAATACTTTTATATAAATGTGTATGTATTCACACAAAATACACAGTTGTGTTTTTGTGCCTGTTTTAAAAATTAATGAAAATGGCATAATGCTGTACATATTCTCCAGCCTGGGCATCCTTGAGTTTTCTCAGTGAGGAGGAAGAGAAGGGGGAGAAATAAAAATAAAAACAAAAACACACAGGGGGCACCTGGATGGCTCAGTTGGTTAAGCGGCCAACTCTTGATTTTGGCTCAGGTCATGATCTCGGGGTCCTGGGATTGAGCCCTGCCTCAGGCTCCACGCTCAGTGCGGAGTCTGCTTAAGGATTCTCTCCCTCTCCCTCTGCCCCTCCCCTTGCTCATGTTCTCTCTCTCTAAAATCAATCAATCAATCTTAAAAAACAAAAACGAAAACTCATAGGCCCTTCACAAGCTATTCCTTCTGCCTAGAATACTTTCCCACTTCTGCCCCTCTGTCGCTCACATTGAGGGTCTCAGTTTCAAGGTCACCTCTTCTTGGAGGCACTCCCAGACCCCAGCTCCTCCTCCCAAGATGGGCTCTGCCCAGTGAGCATCCTGCCCCTCAGGTCCCTGAGCATGAGATGGCTCAACCTACTTACTCCCTCACTGTCTATTTTCCCTGAAAGATGGAGCTCAAGGAGGCAAGGCTCCCTCCTGCCTTGGTCACTGCTGCATCCCAGCCTCTGGACAGTGCGTGGCCCCAGGCAGAGGGGCATCATGAATATGTGTTAAGTGAAATGAATCTGCCAGGTGCTACATGGAACACCAGCTTCTTTGCATAAACCCTGGACAAGGCACCTACTGGGCCCTCCACCTCTCGTGTTCTAATATCTCCTACCCACACCGGCAGCAGAGTTCCAGAAGGCTGCTCTCCTTCCTGGGTCATTGTTTATAAACAAAAGAAGATGCATATCTTTTGGGAAACCTTATATTTCAAATCTCCTGTAATGCTAATACTTAATGCAGAAACTCCATTAAGATGCTTTTTTTGGGGGCGCCTGGGTGGCTCAGTTGAGCGACTGCCTTCGGCTCAGGTCATGATCCTGGAGTCCCGGGATCGAGTCCTACATCGGGCTCCCTGCTCAGCGAAGAGCCTGCTTCTCCCTCTAACCCTCCCACCTCTCATGTGCTCTCTCTCTCTCTCTCTCTCACTCTCTCAAAATAAATAAATAAATCTTTAAAAAAAAAAGATGCTTTTTTTGGTGGCAGTGGAGAAAAAGCTGTTTTGTGAGATTATATTGACCAGGGGATTCATTATCTGCCTGTAGAAAAACAATTCTATATTCATGTTTTTTCCTGTCAACAGCTGAGTCCTGTGTGGGCCAAAGCCTCGTGCTGCCACAATGACCTCAGCTCACCCCACAGCCCCTGGCATGTCCTTACTGTCACG